CCCACAGGCGTGGCCCCCGTTGCCTGAAAATGGCTATAATCTGAGTAAGATATTGCCAGGGGTGGGTCTTCCATTGTCTTGGATGAGGGTGAACTATCCCTGTCTCAGCAGGCTTTTCTGTGGCCTCTGGACTGACCCAGCGTCCCTGCGTGGCCAGTTACTAGTAGGAAACTCTGGTGCAAGCCAACTGGCCAGCCTCAGTTTTCTCTTCTGTGAAATGCCTCTTCATTTGTGAAATATGAGGCCCTTCTCACCTCCCTGGGACATACTAAATAGCAGCATTGTACGGGATTATGTATCTGTACCATTAGATCCAGGTCTTACGAATAGTAACCCAAAAGCATGCAAATAGACCTGGTCTAAGAACAGGGACCCCGAGCGATTGCTCACGCCTGTAATCTCAGCACTTTGGGAGGCTGAGGCGGTTAGATCACTTGAGGTCAGGAGTTAAAGACCAGCCTGGCCAACTTGGTGAAACCCTGTGTCTACTAAAAATATAAAAATTAGCTGGGCATGGTGCCCATGCCTGTAATCCCAGCTATTCGGGAGGCTGAGGCAGGAGAATTGCTTGAATTTGGGAGGTGGAGGTTACAGTGAGCCAAGAGGGGGCCATGGCACTGCAGCCTGGGCAACAGAGCGAGACTCTGTCTTAAACATATATATGTATCAGGCCAAAACTAGTCCCTTCACTCCCATTTCTAAAACTCTAGATAGTTGTTATAATCTACTGTAGAATGTGTAGATGAACATCTTTGTTGAGCACCTACCATGTACTTGGTTCTTGGATATATATTATCTAATTCTTTTAAAACATAGTGAAATTGTTATTAGTATTCCCATTTTACAGATGTGGAAACTTACATGTTTCACACAGAGAGTTACAGGTTTCTGGCTCAAAACTGTGTTCCCTCTGTTTCCATCTCTGGCACAGGACCTTGTAACCACCTCCACGTGAGCAAACAAGTATTGGATTCTTATTCTCCATTAATAGGTATGGTACAGTGCCCTATTTCTCTGTACAACACTTAAAGGGCCTTAGTGGCTAAGAGCTGATACTTTCCTTCCCTATTTTAATGTGAAATCCTCAATATGTTACACTCTGTCTTTATTAGGCACAACAGGCTCTAGAAAAGTTTGCAATATGCTCTTTTCCATGTCCTGCTTCTTGAATGTTATGATGATTATATAAGCTGATAAATTCCCAAACTTTGACAAACGTAATCTTTCCTGTATTAGAATGAGTTTTAGTGTGGAAAAAACATTCTAAAGCACACATATAGTTTTTAAGGCAGAATAATCCTCCAAGTACAGTAGGTATTGGGCATCATTTCTCAGTTGTGGATTTATTTTTGTAATGCTGCACCTGCTTTGTTCTCTACCAAATTATTTTTCATCTTAGTAATTACACTCAGCACCGCTGTCTACTCCTACATATAAATTTGTGCAGACTGGTCAGGTGTGGTGGCTCACATCTGTAATCCTGGCACTTTGGGAGGCTGAGGCGGGCAGATCACCTGAGGTCAGGAGTTCAAGACTAGCCTGGCCAACATTGTGAAACCCCATCTCTACTAAAAATACAAAAATTGGCCAACCGTGGTGGCACATGCCTGTAATTCCAGCTTCTTGGGAGGCTGGAGAATCGCTTGAACCCAGGAGGCAGAGGTTGCAGTGAGCTGAGATGTTGTCCGCTGCCTAGGTGACAAGAGTGAAATTTCGTCCCAAAAAAAAAAAAAAAAAGAAGAAGAAGAAGAAAAAATGTGCAGAATAACCTAAAAAGAAAGCCAATTCCAAAAGAAGTCTTGCTCTTGGAAGTTTCTAGTGCTCTTTGCTAGTGTAACAGTGGTTTTGTTTTGTTTTTTTTCCAAATAAGTATTGAACATGTACATTATGGTCCATGCATTTGCTGGACTTAGTGAATATAAAGAAATGTAAGACCCAGTTCATGACCTACGAAGTCAAAATCATAGGGGAAAATTCTGAGAATACTTAATATGTCTTAAATGATAGGTGGCATGAAGTTAGGAGGTATAGAATCTAGTTTTAATCAAATCAATCTTTCAGTGGTAAACCAGATGAATGGGCAAAGAGAATCAAAAGCAAGGCCATCTAACGTAATTCTCATAGTGTCACTGAAAAGAAGTGATACTGCCTTTTTTCTTATCATAATAATACTAGTAGGTAGCATCGATTGAGCTGTTGCTACATACCAGGCACTCTGCCAACAGCTTGTCATTTAACCCCCACAACAATTCTGAAAGGTAGGTGCTGTTTTTATTCCCACTTTATGGATGAAGAAACTTAAGCTGAGTGGTCAAGTGATTTGTCACAGGCTATACAGTTAGAATTATCCAAGCCAAGACTTAGGTGTCCCGAGCAGATCCACTGCTCATTTCATTACTGCTCTAGTTGCACAGGAGGCTCTCCTAGGAGCTTGCACTGAAGTGATGAGAGTAAACATGGTTCAATTCCTCTTGGAGGCAGTAGCTTTGTGGCTTCAACATGGGAGCTCTGAGGCTTGCTGAGAATAAATGAGGGGGGTAAGCCTGTTCCTGCGGAGTTTAAACCAATAGAAAGGGGAAAGCAGTTCGACTAACAAGAGCATCAAGCATGGATTTTTATTTCTCAGATGCTCATGGAGTTGGAAGGAAAGCATAGAATGTAACTCTAATCCAATTGTGGATTTATGTGTGGTTTTTCTGGGTTATCTGGGTCAACTTGCAGATTTTTCTGTATGTAGAATAAGATGCTAATTATTACTTTATGTACTTGATCAAATATTAACAACTAAATTATATGCTTTCATAATGATAAACTGCTAAGTAAATGCCTACAAAAATTATTAAAATTAGAATCTTAATTAACCTCTATTTCACAATGATAAGCAGGAAAAGCAACACATTAAGTAAAATATCAGGAGATACTGAGATGGAAGACTGTTAGTGTAGAGACTCCAGTTAATTCATAATTTATATGAGAAACCTCGAGAAACATTGTGGAATAGTCGTCACTACTTTCAGTTTTTTAATTCCCCTCCCAGGTGTGCCTCTAATTATCTTAAAATAATTGTGACATTCTTAGAAAACTCTCAAAACAATGTAATTATTTTAATATGATAATGCCTCATAGTACTTTATGAAAATAATCAGTGGTTGCTTACAGGGTGAAGCAAAACCTGGCCAGGACTTCACCATACCCAAGATTCAAAGGTAAACCTGCTGCCATTATCCAAGAACAGAGTCTTCCAGACTGAGGACGTCAAAGAAAAAACCTTTCCAATAAACTAAAGAAGAAAAGTTTGTGAAAGAGGCTTAATTTTCTCAATAAGGGTCAATTGCTTTCCTTTTTCTTTTTCTTTTCTTTTTTTTATTTTTATTTTTATTTTGAGATGGAGTTTTGCTCTTGTTGCCCAGGCTGGAGTACAATGGAGCAATCTCGGTTCACTGCAACCTCTGCCTCCCAGTTCAAGCGATTCTCCTGCCTCAGCCTCCCGAGCAGCTGGGATTACAGGCATGTGCCACCATGCCTGGCTAATTTTGTATTTTTAGTAGAAACAGGTTTTCTCCATTTTGGTCTGGCTGGTCTAGAACTCCCGACCTCAGGTGATCCACCCACCTTGGCCTCCCAAAGTGCTGGGATTACAGGTGTGAGCCACCGTGCCTGGCCCAATTGCTGTTTTTAAAACAAGGAAAGGAGGCTTTGGAGTATGAAGTTACCTGCCATGGCGACAGAGGCAGAAGTGGAGGAACAAAGGATGGCGCCTGGGGCCTCTTTCCAGCACATCATCCCTCCCAATGGAAGACAGCTTATTTTATCGACAAATCTAGCAACATGCAGAGAGTGAATCAGAGAAGGTTGGAGTTTTTTAAACTTTATCGAACACTTGCCATGAGAGTTTTAGGCTTATGGGAAATATTCAAAGAAAGAAAAGAGGTCATGTAGTTTGTTTGAAAGTGTCTTGTTTCTCCAAGACTCCATCCATGTCTTGTTTCTTTCTTTTTACTGTTATATTGTAGAAATGCTTGTTCAATTTATAGGATAAAATAGTCCTCAGTACAGATGATTGAGGGGTTGGGGTTGGGTAATTCATTTCAAGTGTGATTTGTTTACACACAACATTTCAGGAGCCTATGATGTCAAATGGGATATATCTAAAATGGAAATAAAGACAAACAGAATTAACAGAAACAACATTCCAGAAAAAATTGAAAAGAAGAGAGAAATGAATAAAGGAACTTTTTAAAAATATATAAACAGGTCATGAAGAGGGAAAGGAGAAAACACATTGAATTAACAAAAAAGGAACAAAAATTCAGAAGTCTTTTGAATTTGAGCAAGAAAACAAATTTCCTGTACTTGGGTGAAATTAAAGAGGAGCCAAAAGAAAAGCAATTGACCCTTATTGAGAAAATTAAACCTCTTTCATGAACTTTTCTTCCTTAGTTTATTGGAAAGTTTCGTTGTTTCATCCTCTTTTGAGGGAGGTGGGCATCAGAAGTAATGAGTCAACCTGCTGAAGAGTAAAGCATTAGGCATTATAAATGCTTTACTAGATAGGTATCATAAAGATTGTATGTAAGGTGCCTAGCATCATATCTGAAACATAGTAAGAGATCAAATAACTGCAGTGTTAATATTAGTATAGTGTTAACATTAGCATTATTTTTAGTATTATGCTGCTACTGTTGCTACTGATTACAAGCAGTCTCACATCTGAAAGTAATGTTGGCTTAGAAATCAGGAGGCTGGCTGGGCGCGGTGGCTCACACCTGTTATCCCAGCACTGTGGGAGGCCGAAGCAGGCAGATCACCTGAGGTCAGGAGTTCAAGA